TTCGTGATCGCGGATGTGTCTAAGGCAATTATCGGTGTGGATTTCTTGTCACATTTCGACCTCCTCGTCGACTTGAGCAACGGACGCTTGCTTGATCGCACGACGAGTGTGAGTGTAGCGGGACAGGAATCAAATTTCGCGACGGTCGCTGGAATTTAGACAATCACTGGCATCTCGCGATATAACAAGCTGCTTCAGCAGTTCCTGTCGATCATTCGTGCAGATGGTGCGTGCACCATGGAGAACGTGAAGTACAAGACGGTGCACCATATTCACACGACGCCTGGTCTGCCCGTCTTCGGCAAACCACAACGCCTCCCCCTGAAGCGTACTAACGCCGCCAAAAAGGAGTTTGATTCCATGCTGCGACTGGGCATCTGCCGCCCATCAGAGGGTAGCTGGGCTTTTCCTCTCCACATGGTGCCCAAGAAAGGTGACGAATGGCGTCCCTGTGGCAACTACCGTGCGCTCAACGCCCGCACGATACCTGATCGCTATCCAGTGCGCAACACCCAGAACTTTGCCCAGACGCTGCGCAGAAAGAAGGTCTTCTCCACTATCGACCTGGTCCGCGCCTACCACCAGAACCCTGTGGCTCCATAGTATATCCCGAAAACGGCCATCACTACGCCCTTCGGGATGTTCGAGTTCCCAGCGATGAGCTTCGGTCGCTGCACAGACCTTCCAGCGGTTCATCTACGAGAAGCCACGTGGACTGGACTCTGTCAATGCTTACATTGACGACCTCCTTGTTGCCTCTGAGAACAACGAAGAGCACGAGGAACATCTACGGCTACTGTTCAAACATCTTCAGGATTCCGGAACTGTCATCAACACCTCCAAATGTTGTTTTGGTGAGCCGGCAGACAAATTCCTTGGGTACCTTGTGTCTAGCAAAGGCACGCAACCCCTTCCGAAGAAGGTCTCCGCAATCCAGGAGTATCCACGGCCCGAAACAGCGAAAGATCTCCGGCAGTTCCTGGGTATGATTAACTTTTACATGCGTAGGACTGCTAGGACCCAAACGTCACTCTACGACCTCCCAAAGGGAAAAAGCCAATTACATGGAACGACACCGCCGAAGCTGCTTTTACTGCCTGCAAGGACACCCTCGCCAACGCAACACTCCTTGCCCATCCGAAGGCGCCGTGAATTTGGTTTTATGTAGCAGTGGAACTATCAAGCTTATAACAGTTTGGTTACTTTTATAAGTAATTTACAAATAATTATCGATACCATCATCAAATCATTGTCAGAACTTGCAGAAAATTCAGCCAAATGTATTCCTGGGTGGAATGAGCTGACGCTCCGTCCAATTGAAACCACGAATCGCTATGTTCCTCTAATGGCAAATTTTCGAAGAAATCGGTAACAGTTGACGTTAATTTTCGGGGAAATCGGTAACAGTCGTCCTTAATATTGTTCTTCAAAATACAGAAAACATTCAGGTAAAATTTTTCTTGAAAAACCCATTAGTCCATTGAAAAGTTACATTTAGGGTTGCGTTTTTCAAAGGACGCAATTTAATTTTTTCATGTGTAGGGGGGGGTCAGTAGAAGCTCAAGTTCAAGTTTGTGGGGTCGCCACCCTTTCCCCAGCCTCCATCTTGGAAAAAGGGATGCAAAGGGTTTTCTCGCTGTATCTCGTAAAAACTAGCAACCCTACAGAAAATTGAATTCAACATAAAATGTAGCAAATTAAAATTTCTACAATTTCATTTCTATTAATTAATTTTTATATGTTCACGATGTTGCTGCAGCTTTCACCACCACAATGGAGGCACACTGCTGAACATTTGAGGCGTGCTTTTGGGCAACCGCACGCACTTCCACAGTTTCCTTTGCATCTGCAAAAGATTAATTTCATAAGCTCGGGGGGTGCTGCAGGCTTGAAAGTTTGGATTGGTATCAAAAATTTTCCATGCTTTCTCCAGCCCCAATATTCAGGATCACAATGTTTACCGAGCCATGACTGAATCTGGTGATACACTCGGAGACTGTGGAAACGGGCTGCATCTTGTGTTGGAGGAAGTGAGGAGAGATTAAATGAATTTTTTTGTCAGTGTCTTAGCGAATCGTATCTCAGGGTTTCCAGAGAATCGTCTTTATTTCCGCCATATAAATAAACGAAAAAACCTTCGCCAACAACATTGAGTAAAGATAGCACGACTTTCTCACTGACAAATAATGTTTTTCCACTAGCTAACTCATTTCATGTTCATTTGTCCTCAAACAACTACTTGGGCCTTTTCTACCTGCGTAGGGTTCTAAGTTTTGTAGTAGGGAGAGGGTCAAAAATAGTTTAATAATAGCATAGGAATGTTAAGATCACAATAAATTGAATGAATAAAAAATGATACCTGTAGATAGAAAAGTAAGCCTAACATTTTGTTTTTATTGTATCCCTATGAGCATTCAAGAATCTGGTCAAGTTTGAAGCGCTGTAAAACCTGGATGAATAAATAAAATTAAACAACTTTATAGTGGACTGAACTGGAGTGGAATGAACTGAAAAAAAGTTATAACTTCCAAAAGAAAACTTTTTACAAAATTTTCACTTATTTTTGTTTATAACTATTTTGTTGGTCACTTGACGATAAAAAGTAATAGAAATAAAATTTTAGAAAAATTTATTTGCTACATTTTATGTTTGATTAAATTGTTATCGACCAAATATTTCATTGGTCTATAAGCGTGCATGCAACGGTATTGATGCTGACGCGACCTATTAACTTGTTTGGCAGGGGTTTCCAGTACTCATTGATAGACCACAAATAGAAATAAACATTTTCACTCCTTTGATCTCACTGTCACAACCGCTGAACAAACAAATGATTTTGTGTTTTTATTTCAAACGTTAAAGAAAACAGTTTTTTTCACTGTATTCCTACAATTCAACTTGTAAATTTGCACCCCTTTTTCCAAGTTGGCGGCCGGGAGACAAGGGTGGCGACCCCACAAACTTGAATTTAAGTTTCTATTGACCCCCTTACACATCAAAAAAATAAAATTGCGTCCTCTGAAAAACCCAAGCTCGGGTCTAAAAAATGTAAAATTTTAATGGGCTACATTTCTTTTGTCACATGAGGATTATGGTAAGCCCAAAAATGTTTTCACCTTCTATTAAAAATGCTATCCCTCGTAAATTTTGATTCATCGTTCCAAATTATTTTTGACAAAAATTCGCAAAAATGCACTCTACGTTCAAAGTGTTCTGCTAGAGAGCTTGAACTTTGATAAATTTATACGGATGCATTTCGCGATTTCTCAAAATTCGTTGTATTGAAGCATGTGATCACCCAAATTATTTTCTGCACTGCGAATGCAAGCATTTTTTGAATATTTTTTTATGAAATTTGGTATACCACCATTTGAGAGGGTGCCCAGCCCATTGGAGGTTTTAAATTTTTCCTAAAATTTAGTTTAGGAAAAATTTAACCTATAAAAATATTCCCAGCAGACCTTGGTTTTTATAGAAATAACATAATATTTGGTCACAAAGTTCCGTTTTTTGGACTGACTCTACAATTCCAAATTGTTATTCGAAGTTTTATGGAGATGTCCCTCTTTCAAGTGGGTCACACTGTATAAGATAATGTGAAGTTCGGGTTGAACCGCATCTAGTGTTTTGGGTTGTTTGGTTTTTAGGTTGTTTGGTTATTATAAATATATACATTCGGTTTGTTCAGAAAGTAAATGATGGTCTTTTAGCTGTCCGAGCTTTCGCTAATGTTTATTAGCTTTATCGGGGGCTGTAATATAAAAAAAGGACATTATACATGTATATGATACATAATAAGTGATAAAACAGTTACACACCTGTGCTGTGAGGATATTTTCTTTAGAATTTTTAATTTTGAAAGAATTCAACTTGAATGACAATTTTTCGACAATAAACAATGTGGCCGATATATATTGTATTCAGGTTTTTTTTGTTAGTAGAAATGGATAAAAATTGTCGAAATTCTCTTTCGCCCCGTATTTTTGAAACAAAGCTCACTATCAAAAAACATCAAAGAACAAAATATCCTTAGAATAGTCCCTTAATTTTTTGCCCTGTATATTCACATAATAGTTGGGCGAAGAAGGGAGAATTGTATAGAGTTAATTTTTGAAATTGATTGCTTCCTCCCTTTTTTGGAAGATTCTTAAATTTTTTGTGTCAAGATGGAGAAGTAGAAAGCTAAAACCTTTCTTTCCTAAAAATTAATCTCTTCTAAAAATATAACCTCTCAATTTAAACAAGATTCCTTTGGCTGGGATTTGAAGAAATAAGCGAATGAATGTTATTTACGTACTGTCTACCATGACATGGGTGGATTCGACCCATTCCGTGACAAAAAGTCGTAATTTTATGAACGAATTGAGTGTTTTTTTTATAATATCCGTATTTGGAATGGAGAGCAAATAAGGCAAGTGTCTTACGGCAAAACATCAGGATGTCTACCAGTGAGGATGACAGTGTTCCATGTATAAGTGAAATTTTACTTCTTTCATTAATTATATTGTGTAGGAATCCTGTGAATGATATTTGATTCGATTCCATTACGAACTGAATAGAAAAAATGTTTTTCGTATAATTTAGCGTCCATGTGAAGTCATTTGTTTCAAAAGTATTTTTCTTTCGTGATATTCAATGTTTATATGAAAATAGCCGTTACGAGAGGGTTTTTTTCTTTCAGTTTGTGTCTGAAAGTTAAGTCTTTGCATGATCTACACATCTTTGTATAGAGTTATTTTTTTAAATTGATTGCTTCATTCCTTTGTTTGGAAGAATTAGAAGGCCAAAACTTTTCTTTCCCAAAAAAATTTAAATTTGGTCCATTACATCAATAGAAAGGTATCTGAACATAATTATACAATTCAAATTATCACCAAATTGGGCGGAACCCAACATATTTTTTTTTAGCTACAAAGTTTTCCACACACATGTAGTAACTAGTTTCCATTTTACTTCTTACAATAATGCCATTCGAAGTTGTGATAATGATTATTTTTCAGGACCAATTTTTGGAGGTTTGCCTGGCAGATGTAACAGATCGAGATAATATATATTATATTCATGACAAAGTGATAGAAAAGGGATTTGCAATTCATCCAAATCAAGTGAGTTGTGAGGATAAAGTTTCTAATAATAAGAAAAAGATATTACTGCAAGTCATAGCTCAAAGAAGAGCAGGGACAAATATTCCATAGTGTTTTAGTAAATTTGGACTGAGAATGTAACGATTTTGTTTTCATTATTGATATTTGAAGATACTTCATGAAATATAATTTCAAAAGTACAGCTTTAGTGAATTTCTCGAAAATTTGATCGTTCATTGCATCAGTAAATCTCATATCGTTTATTTGCTTTCATATAATTAGACCTCATTTTTCATTTGTAAATCATGATTTTTATATAGTTATCCTTAGGTGTTGAAGGAAAATATTCGACAACTCCTGCTTGTCTTCATTGTTGACCCTTTTATTTAATTGAATATTTTCAACCTTTCGCTGAAAAAGCGGTTGATGCCGTCAACTATGCTGATGTAGGTACACAAATAACACATTTTCTGTGTTTTATTTATTTTTCCCTATTCAAACTGTTACAAATAGTCCATTAATTTCTCAATTATGTAAACCTGCCTTTTAGTTACTGGTCTTTGTTACATAATCAATAGGTAATGCTCAACAAACCTCAAAACCAGCAATACAAAACGTCACAGAATTGAGTAAAAAAATAAGTAAATTGTTCCTATGAATGATTATGAACTAATCTCAGGTGATTTCGGAATTATTACCATATTAAAATCACAAGATCAAAAACAACTAGTAAAATAATAGGAATAGTAGCAAAAGTAGTAGTTTTCATCACTCCTTCACTTTTAATATCACCAATGTGTGACTTGAAACAAATGCATCCTAGAATTGTGTAAGATGAAATTTTATAGCAGAACTTTATATAATGTTTTGTTATATATGATAGTGTGATTACATAGAGTAAGGTAAATGTCCACAAATCAGACACTTTATGAAAATCAATATGAAATTACTAATATTCGAGTTTTAAACACAAGACAATTTTCTACAATATAGCTTAAAGAAAATAAATATGAATATACTGTTTTCGAAATAAATGCAATTTCTGTCACCACGGTATTTGTGCGTAATTTCGAGAGGGAATTTTTTCTCTCACTCAAAATCCGATACCAAATTGGACAAAAATTTTGACACTCTTTTTGAATTCGATAACAATGTACATTGATCAGACAATTCATTAATTAACAAAATTTTTATTTGAAAAAGTTTTCAAGTTTCATCTTTCCATATGAAATAATTTATGAACTAATGAATTATTTACTAGAGACTTATCAATACTCAATTATATTTTGCCAATTCTTCCACTTCTATTGATTTGTTTGGGAGGCCTGATTTTTTCTGTAATTTCACTTGTGTACCTTATTTTCCCTTTTTATCTATCCATTTCCATTTTTACAAACCGCTTCTTTGTCATCGTACTGATGAATGCTTTACCTGCATCAATATGTTATATTGATTCCTGATGTATAATTTTCTCCCTCATATATAACTATGATGAAATCATCGACTTAGTATTTCTCTTCTAATGAAACGTTCTCATTATTATTCTGAATTTTCAGGTAGCTTTCAATTTCCATTTGAATGTTGTATTTGGTGATTTTTTTTTTAAGATTCTGTGAACGGGTCTTTTTTCACACTCATCCTTTTCTTATTTCCCTTTAGTTTTTCTTTCTCATTCTGATCCTTCAGAAGTTTTAACCGAAATAATTTTTTCGTCACTGAAAATCATCAGATGTTTCATTTTCACACGCAATTTCTTCTAATATGAAATCCAATTCGTATATAGATTCATCAATATTCTTTTTATCAGAAAATGTAAATATTCTGAAGAATATTGATGTTCGGATATTTTCTTAAACCTCTATGGATGGTATTTTTTCTGTTCGATCATTATTTAATATGGTTTCAAGGTTTTTGACTTCTCCAATTCATTCTGATTATCATTATCGTGAACATTATCGCAATCTTTCTTTTTCTAAATTTAGTCCCTCTATTTCAATTATTATATCAATAGTTGATTCCTTATTCTCCACAGAAACCAGCCCAGATTTTCTAAAAATTTTCTGCTAAACGATAGACAATGGTGCATTTTCTTGATTTTCCATTCCCCCCCTATTAAGTTATAAACATTTTCGAGTGTTTCCTTTTCACGCAACTTTTTTAGAAACCTCAAATGGTTCACAACTTCATTATTTTTTTCTGGATGAAAAAATTTTGTATGTTTTGAAATGATATAGTATAATCATTTATACTGCCAAATAGATATGAAACAATACCCTGAAGGCGTTATTGAATATTTCTATCAATTTTTTCATTTCATCATGAGCTGTTATTTGAACAGCAAAGTTTCTCTATTCAATGCTCTGAACTTATTTTCAGTTCTATAATTTCTGAAACAAGTTTTCAACATCCAAAGGATTCAAAATATGCATAGAATTTGGAAGCAAATAAGAATAATTTTATTTGAAAAATTAATAACAAGTGAGATAATATGTCGCACTATGCTTATGAAGTAAGGAAAAAGTTATTATTTCAGAATCTGAATCTTTAAACAATAGAATATCCTCCTTTTCAGGGGTTAATATTTTGGTGTTCCAGTGCGGTTTAACAGAAGTCTAGCGTTCCAATATGTCAGAAGGACACTAAGTCGTATCTTTGTTAACCAAGTTAGCATAATCAGGAAAAGGAGGGGATGGCACCAAAGTTGTCGAGGAGTTACGTATTGTAGAGTTAACGTTCGAAAATTGAGAAAGCGAAGTATTCGACCGTTTTACGTGCGTTTCGGTCGTTTTACGTACGTTTCGGCAGTTTTACGTACGTTTCGACTGTTTTGCGTAAGTTTCGACCGTTTTGCGTGCGTTTATTTGTTATTGTTTCGTCGCCATTGTAGCCGTTTTCATGTTTCAATACGACATTCATCTATCACTTAACGCGTTTTGCTAACCAAGTAAGCATCATCAGGAGATGACTCAAGTCCATGCTTTGTCGTATGAAGGTTCATTTTATGACTTTTCAGACTCCTGAAGGGAACCTTGTGGAACACTCAGCCTAACTTCTGTTACAGAGTGGTGTCGGTCAACCAATCAGAATGGAGGAATCAAATATCGGTTGTTTGATTGTGTTAGATGAAATTGAACTGGAGAATGAGTGTCAAATAATAATAATGATTGTGGTAAAACATTAAAACTTTGAAAGTGACGTAGTCAGCGTGGGAGGTGGTGACGTGGTAGAAAATGTGTGATGATTTGTTGAAATGAATGAGTTATTACAAAAAAAAATGGCGCAACTGTCAGAAGGGCACTAAGCCACATCTTCGTTAATGATAGTTGGATCTTAACGTGCAGCACATCAAATGAAAGAAGAAAAAACAAAGATGGCGCAACATGTCAAAAGAGCACTAAGCCACAATTTCGTTTATGACAGTTGGATCTCAATGTGCAGCATATCAAATGTAAGGGAAACGAATGCAGAATTCATCGACAGAGAAAAAACGAAGATGGCGTAACATGTCAGAAGGGCACTAAGTTACATCTTCGTTAATGATAGTTCAATCTCAACGTGCAGCACATCAAATGAAAGGGAAACGAATGCAAAATACATCTACAGAGAAAAAACAAAGATGGCGTAACATGTCAGAAGGGCACTAGATCACATCTTCGTTAATGATAGTTGAGTCTCAACGTGCAGCATATCAAATGAAAGGAATGCGACTGCAAAATTCATCGACAGAGAAAAAACAAAGATGGCGTAACATGTCAGAAGGGCACTAAGTCACATCTTCGTTAATGATAGTTGAATATCAAAGTACAGCACATCAAATGAAAGGGAAAGAAATGTAGAATTCGTCGACAAAGAAGAAACAGAGATGATGCCAATAGGGCACTAAGTTGTATCTTCGTTAATAATAGTCACATCATTGAGTATAGCACATCAAATGAAAGGTAAACGAATGCAGAAAATATCGAGAAATCAAAAACAAAGATGACAACAACATGTCAGAACGGCATTCACTTGTATATTCGCTATTAATGATCAGATTGTCACGCACAGCACGTCAAATGAAAGTAAATTTATGCATAATTCATCGACAAAGAAAAAATAAAGACGATGCCAACAGTCAGTTGCGCATCTTCGTTAATAATGTTTGGGGTATAGAATTCATAAAGAGAACTAAAAGATAACGTTATGTCAAACAGATTATGATCTAAAGCACATGAAAGGGGTATTGAAGTTGAAATTAATAAAGAAACGAGTCATCTAGCATCATCAGTGCTTACCGGTGAAATATATTTTAACATTTGTTATTGCAATTCAATAAAGCATATTTTAAATTTTCGAAACTTCATCGTATGTAATAATTTTTAAAAATTGATAATCCCAGCCGAGCATTAAACTACAGTTCTCATATTGATTCATTTCTATTGTACTGACACTTATTTAATAGCATAAATGCGAGCGAAGCCGCGGGTAAAAGCTAGCAATATATAAATCTTTTCTCAGCTGAACAGTAGTCAAATACATATATAGGTACTAAGAATCATGGGCTAATCGTCTATATCCATAGCGTTTGATGTTTGAGGGATAGAATAATGACCCCAAGGAAGCGTATTGTGTGAATCTGGAATTATGTAACGCTTATCATCTTCAGGGCTGAGGGCAATCTTGTATTGGCTGATAGAATGTACTTGATGTTTATCGGATCGAATCAAATTTTAGGTGACACTCCAATTATTTAAGCAATTCATATAATCATCGAAAGTAATTTTGTTCTTCACCACAGAAGATTCGACCCCCTTTGTCTTCTTGGTAACCCCCAAGCATGAGATGATTTGATTAATTTCATCCTCATCAAAGCCATCATTTACCAACTGCTGACGCTTCTTATTGATACCATCCTCCGTCACCAAAACCCTAGTTGTATACAATTTCGATCTAAGGCTTACGTAATTAGTCATCGGAATTGCGTTATTCTCATTTTTCATCATCCCGAGAACCTTTTTATTTACCAAAGGAACGTTAAACTGATTGTTGGACGGGTAATCCGAAGTATCGAAGAATTCGTGACAATCTTGAGTTTAATGTTGACTCTTTTTCTAATGTCTTCTATCGTTTTTCTGAATACTGCATTGTTCATTAGCTTGAAGAGGTTTTTTTCAAACTCATTCTTAACCCTTTTCCGCAACTCAGTATTCAAATAAATATA